GGGGATGAGGGGGCGCAGGTGTGGCTGGTAAGGCCCTGGGGGCCCCCGGAGCCTCTGATGCCAGTTCTGAGACTCGGCATGCCTTGTCTCGCACAAGATGAAGGAGAATCACCTAATGAGTGCTTTATCATGCTAGACATTTAACAGCATTCTGAATTTTGAGTACTGCAGTCAATTATAAAACAGATTACTGAAGGCAAAGTAATAGAAAAAAATGCCTTATTATTTAAATATATTATTAATAATATGATTATTATGACAGAATTGCTATAAATATTTATATAAATATTATTAAACTATGAATGCAGTATATTTATACATTCATCATCATATGTAATAAATATTCATTACTGATACACAAAATAAGCTGTATTTTAAATATAACGTGATTTACATTTTGTAACATGTCGCTAAAATGTTAGTAACTCCTCCCATTAAACACAGTATAGTGAGGGGAGAAGGAAAGACTAAATTCCCTGCAGTGCTGTGCATAAGAAGTATTTGTATTTATTTATTGGTGTTAGCAAAGGCTGTTGTCTCTGCTTTGAGATGGAACAAAAATCATATGCTATGTTTAGAAATGAAAAAAGAAATTATTTTCCCTAGCCATCCAAAAAGGCTGATGCCTCTAGAGGGATGTGAATGTTCTTTGCAGGTATTTCTAGTCTCCACAGTCTCCTATTCTTGTTAAGCTTCTTATAAACTTGCAAGCAGTATAACACAGTTGACATATCTTGGCCAAATTATTTTTACGTGATTTTTAGAAGATAAATGGGAAAGGTTAAAAAAACCCACCCATCAATCTCCAAAATGTCGTGTCTGTTTTTCGAACCCTTCTCCCCATGATCCACAGGGAAGTATCATGGTGCCAGAAGCACTACGTCTTCCTCTGTGGTTATGTTCAAAGTTGCACCTTAACGTTCAGCTGAGACATTAATAAATAAATAAAAAAAAAGTTAAAAAAAAAAAAGCTAAAAGTCTCTGAAATGCCATGGCAATTATGTACCTAAATTGAACTTTAATGAGAGTGCTCAATCTGTGTTGGTAATTGTGGCTGCTGTTTATTTACAAATGCTATATACCTGCTGATACGCACAGCTGCTGCTGCCGCACAGTCACCGATAACTGTCCTCTAACACCTCAACAATTGTATGGCCATGGGGGTTTTTTGCTCCCAGCATTCTGGCAGCTGGAAATTCACATGCGTGTTCCTGGAAATTTGAGGTGATATGTACAATCTCCCAACGGACTGACGGAGCAACTCTCAAAAATGAAAAGATATTAACCAGTGGTGACACTTACCAGAAGGACCATCCATAGTCCCATGAATGCGGTCGCCAGTCCTCTGGCCCAAGGCTGACTGTCACTTGGAAAACTTGAGTATACATCATGTGTGCCACCATCCCCAAGAGACCTGAGAAGCAGGGATTATAACAGGAATTTTTGTACTAATATTTTTTATACTTTTTCAGATAGCTACTGCTGGAAGTGCTTTGAAAGCTCAAAAAAAAGTCTTTGTTGTACTTTTATGCCTCCTATTCTACTGTGGAGGAGGGATCTGCATGGGCAGAGGAAAGGTGTGACTGAGAGCTCATTATTTTAGATCATACTGAATTCTCAATTAAGAGAAGAGTTAAAGAAAGAAAACGGTTGAAGAAAATGTTGCACAATTAGCATCGCTTCCAACCTTGCTGCTGCAAAACAGGGGTATGCCACCCACAAGTTATCTCACTTAGCCCATCGCAGACAGGCCTCAGGTAAGAGAATAAGGAGAGAGGCTTCTGTAGGCAATGCAAGATTGAATGTGTTAACGCCAAATGATATTTTATCTGAGCAGTTGCTAGGATTTATAAATTTGAACACTTTACAAGTGTTGGAAGTTGGAAGTTACACAAGGAAGTTAACTCAGCATCCCTGATGTTGTGTGCTGAGAGGATACCATAGGAATACTATTTTATCCGAGCAGTTGCTAGGATTTACAAATTTGAACACTTATAAAACACTTGGAAGTTACACAAGGAAGTTAACTCAGCATCCCTGATGTTGTGTGCTGAGAGGATACCATAGGAATACTTTTGATGGTACAATGCTGATGATGCTTGCTTTTGTGCCATTGTTATATTTTGCTGAGATAACTACAACTGGGAGAAGATTAGACAGTGTATTAGACACTCCACTCACCTTGATGCTAAAGAACAAGGTTGCAGTTAGATCACTGAGCTTGCTCTGCCACTTAGCTGGCCAGCATGGTTCTTCAGCTTAAGCAGAAAAAACTGCCTGAATTTTTACATCTAGACATCCCTCTGAGGAAAATCAAAACCCACTTTTCAAGAAGTGGTGGCCAGTGGCAGATCTGATGCTTCAAGAGTTTTTTAGCTACAATCAATTGGGGATGTGTCTGCTTTAGTACCTAGGCAGTACAGAATGATGCTCCCAGCTGAGCTCACGAAAAGCATGGGCTCAGGCAGTTAGCTAAACCGTGGGGCAGGATCATCATTTCCCAAATAGACCTTGGACCTACAGATGTCAAAAGCCCCTTGTGCTCCGATGACAGTTCAAGGCACTTTTTGGAATCCTGATGTTCTGCCGCAGTGGGGTACAACATTGGCCCATACGTTAACGCTTTGCTCCTTAACCAAAGTCGCCATTTACTGTTATCTCTGACCATCTACTTTTTTCCACAGTTGTTCTTCCTCCATATGGAAGATCCTGATTTTCCCTCCCCAGATTCAAATTTCTGGCTCTTTTTTCCTGCTTAGTTTCAGAGTCTAAAGCGCTTCATTAGTCTCACCAGATGTGGATGATTCAGGGCAATTCTGGGCAAGGGAAGTTGGGGAACAGCATGTTTGTGTTGTGGTTATGTTAAGCAGGACCTTCAGCACAACAAATGTCATCTTTGATACAAACAACTGCAGAGGCTGAAATAAGGTATTTTATTACAAGTAGCTACGGTGATTTGCTTAGCTGCTTCATGTCGGTGTGACACACTGGGAAGTTAGGAGGTGGAAAGAGCAAGCCACATCGGAAGAAATGATATTTCGGCAGGGTGGGTGGCCTAATGGGAGCACAGCAAACTGGTACACACCTTGCTTGTTTCTGGCTGTATTTAATTTCCAGAATTCACTGGGAGCTTGCCGTACTTTTTAAATCAGTGGGGTTTTCTCCAGCTGACAGTTAGGGCGTTGATCTTAAAGTTTGGGGTTTGCTGTTCCTATACCTACTGTCAGTAATTTTTCAACCTTAATAAAATATTACACACTGCCCTGAGACATGTCATAGTCACTCAGAGCCATCAGGAGGCTTGACATGGCCAGGACTGGCTTCAGCAAGGCTGTTCTGCTCTGTTGTGTCATGCAGAACCTTCGTGGGGTTTCAGCAATGTTCAGATCTTTGGCTGTGTGGGAGGCTGGGATGGCAGTCCACTCGTGCAGGTGAGGAGGAGGCCATCAGCAAGTCCTGCTGTAACACAGGGATCACAGTGAAAACATGGCACTTATTGTTTTTTCTGCTTAATGGCGGGGAGGATCAGGGGCGGACATGTACCTGGCTGTGCTGTCAATGGCATTATGTCATCTATAAGCTATAGCAAAACAATGCAAGTCTTTCTTTCATTGTGCTGCTTCATGCACCTTTGGTTTGGTTTGTTCTTGATGCCACCCATCTGTTTGGTCTAGTTCAGATACACTTTGCCAAGTGCTCCGTGGAGACATCCTATGATATTTTATGTTGTACTTTTAATGGTCACATGTTGGATAAAATGACCTGCCTGTAACATATATGAGCAAATGCTGTACTTACAGGATCATTTTTTCCTCCAACTGGCTGCTTAAGGCTGGGCAAAGAGGACAGAATGACTGTATGGCCACCCACCCAGGGGTCAGGGCAACAGATGCTTGCAGGTGGAAAATCCTGATAATATGGTGGGTTGAAGTGACTGGAGTGGATGGGAGTGCAGAAACGCTGACCATTTATAGCTGGCTTGAGATCATTAGCCTTGCAGGATCAGAGCTGTTTCTAGGAGAGCATAAGTAACTAAATTTGAAAAAAGATTATATGTTTTAAAGCACTTTCAGATACCTTTACTAAAAATATTATTTATGGACTATATCACATTAATTAAAATGCTTTACTATAAATATTACCTGAGAGATGTATATATAAGTTGTTTAATTTGTATAAGGTTAAGAAGAACACCAAAATGTCAGTGTTGTGGATTTCTTTTTTAATGACTCATTAGAGGTTAAGTAACAGCCATAATTGGCCACACTGTTAGGATAATACTTCCTAACCTTTAGATGTCGAGCTATGAGAATATGAAGATCCCATTGGACTTTTGGAAGGGAACGCTAGCATGAATTTAATGAGAGGTGTGTTGCTCCAAGGCAAAGCCCTCTTTGTTATCTGATTTCTATAAAGCTGTGTCATTATAAATATGCTAAGATTAAATAAATATCATTTTTTTTCTTTCCTCTGAGATTTGTGTCACTGAAAAAAAAACAGCTAGCAGTGTTTTGGGGTTGGTTTTTTTTTTTACTTCTTCCTATTTTTCTATGTTTTTTCTCTGTAAAATTTTAAAGTTTATATTTGGAACATCATGGCAATGTACTTATAAAGAGGGAAGGAAAAATAAAAATAGAAAGATGTGTAGGAAAGAAAACGTCGTAATTCTTGAAGAACTTAAACCTGCAGTTAATGGTGAAGAAAAAGAGAAACAGCATGAAAATAATTGTTTGAAAGCTAAAGAATTCCACATAGTTTGATTTTGAAAATTGAACTGACTTTTTTTTAAACCCAAATTACATCCAAAGATGAAAAATATGCTTTGGCAGTTTTTACCAGATTTTTTTTGTTCTTTCAGCTCCATTTCTGATTGAAGTTTTATACTACTAACTGTATTTCACAATTTGAAGCTATCCCTGAAGACAGAAACTCCTTCACAGGAAGGTACACTGCATGTTATAATCTCTTTCAGCTTGAAATACAGCAGAATAAAATGCACTGTTATTGCTGAAGTTCTTTCTGCCAGAGAGGTCCATGCAGGAGTGCTCACAGAAGCCAGCTGTGGCTGGTTGCTTGTATAAATACCGGGAAGTGGAGTTTTCAGCCAGCACAGAAGTGACGGGGCACTTAATGACACGATTAGATTTGATAACTGCAGAAATTCATAAGCAGTGGATTCCTCAAGTTCATTCGCTGAAGGGCTCCGAGTACAGACCGAGCATGAAAACAGCCTGAAACAATTCTGAGAGATGTACATGTCCCCAGATTACTCTTGGGGGTTGCTCCTGAGATTACTAGAATCCTTTTCATTCTCAAGTTTGCTAATGAACAAGATGGCCTTCTTCCTTTGGTTTGAAGAATCAAGCCTTCATCTACTTTTAGGACTAACACAGAAAAAAGAACTTTCAACGCTATACGTTTTTCATTTTGTATTGGATAATCAGTGTGATGACGCTGAAAAATGGAGGCTCAGGCTATGGGTATGGTAATGGCTGTGTGGGCTGGGGGGAGGCTAATTATTGCATTGCCATTGTGAAATCAGGAATATGTATTTTCACTTCTCCCTGGCAAGAGGCAAATTTATCATGGGGTCTTTGTTCCAAAGGAAGAAAAAGTTGTAGTGAAAAATGTGATAGTTTAATGGTGATAAAAGAGCCTTGTAGCACCCAGCTTTTATTCTTTCAAAGTTTTAGAATTTTTTTTGTGGTGGCTCCCCAGGCAAAAGAGAAAGAGAAGGTTCGTACCTGAAAGCACAGTGAAGACAGCAGCGAAGGCATTTAACTTGAGCCCATCTATTACACTGCTTGAATGAAAGAGCTCGAGGCACATAAGGCTGAATCCAACGACTAACAGCATGATGTATAACACCTCGGATACTACCGATAACCACAGGACACCTGCAACGCACAAGAGCAGCAACCAGTCACTTATTTGGTAAATACTTTCAAGAGGTAAAGTTGGCAAAAAATTATTAGGAAATCAGGAATATCTAGGATTAACTGGATATTCAGAAAGTTTAAATATAGCAAACCATCGCCCAAACTCTGAAAAACAGAAAAAGTGGTGAATGAAGATGTGAAGAATGGCAGGGTGGTAAAGGTATTGCAGAAAGAACAGGCTGTAGCCTAAGATCCCAGCTTGGCTAAAGGATCTCTTTGGGTATATCTAGAACCTCTTGGCTCCTATGACCCAAAACATAGGACACAGAATGCATTTTCCATCCTTATGTCATGGTTTAGATGAACAGAATCTAGCATACATGTGGTGATGGCACATATTACCTTACAGTATATGGGCTTGTGGGAGATGAACAGGCTTGGATACCTCTTTTTCACAAGGCTGTTCAAAGAAAATGTTTTCAGTCCAGGTTTTAAAACACTTAGCACAGCGTAGTGTTGGGGCCTGTTACTAGAAAATCCCTTTCACAGAAGTTGGTGTCTTGAGGAATGACTGTTCTGACTTGGGGTGCGTGGATCCACTGCGCAGATCTCTGCCACTGGGACTATATACAAAAACTGCCAGAGTGCCTGTGGGGTGGAGCCAGTTATTTACAACATACTCAGTCGAAGAGCTGCAGATACAAAATTTGGGCTGCCTTCTGTTTTCTCAACCCCTCAGTAGAACCCCTCGGGTGAAGGGCAGAGTTGATGTGCCCCGTTTGACCCACACGCTCTGCAGGACTTTGGGGTCGTGCACAGGTAAGTGGTTCTGGCAGTATTTGGCAGTGGCCGGCTGAGACTGATTGATCCGCTGTAGATGTTACATTTGGAAATTTCAGCACAAACCCTCTAGCAGGATCTGCTGAGTCTTTTAAAGTCACCAAGCCGTGGGGTACATTTCAGAGGATGGTAACAGACGACAATATTGAGTCCCTGCCAGACTTGCAATTGCTGTTTCAGCATGAGAATCTGCTAGAATTCTTCAGTACATTTGCTAACCTGATTGCTAGAGAATTCACCTGGAAACAATGAGCAGTGATGGAAAATTTCAGCCTAAGCAGTTGAAACATGGAAAGTTAAGCATCTGAAGACAATGGCTTATATTAGAAAATGTTAGCTGTAACCATAGAGACTGCTACAGGCTTCACTTACAATAATACATTCTCTCCTCACTGTAAGAACATATGTGTGATAATGCCTATAGTTGAGCGTATCAAACCAGATATGCAGGCTCACTTTTATCAAATATTTGAGTGTCCTCTTAGTGACCAGGATGATCCCAGCTCACATTTTGTCTGGGAACTTGTCTTTTTGTAATTGTAACTAATTACTATGTGCTATTGCTGTTGGTACCGTATCTGACCTTTTGAGTTCTTAAACAATACTACAGAGATAGCAATAAATAAACCTTTTAATTTCTCACAGTGACTTTATGTGTAATATTGCATCTACCAACAGCAAACAGCTGTTTATCTTACTCCTATTAGTCAATTTGGTATCAGGGCAACTAGCACACTCTTCCAAAAAGAAATATGAGTAAGAGACAGCAAGGGTGTTGTTCTGCGATACAGCAGGATTAAGAAGGGATATTGCCTCATTTTCTCGCAAACAGAAGTTTCTATGACAAGAGAATAATGAAATGGTTTGAGTTCGAAAGAATGGGATTACACAAACCTGACCTATAAACTGAGAGAGCCCCAAGTAACATTCGTAAATGTTTCAGCCCAAACATGAAAGAGTAACATGCAACATATTTGCCCAGATGTTTATTGCCCTGTTTTGACTCTCGAGGATACTCACTGCTGGTATCTACACTCATGGGCAGTGCTGTAGTAGTGACTGCAGCTCAAAACTGTGGTGTGGCTCTGTCCTCTACTTCCTTGGGTGAACAACTGAAGGGTCAGGCTCAAAGAGTTGTAGTCAATGGCGTAACAGCAGGCTGGTGGCCAGTAGTGACTGGTGTCATCACTGATGCCTCAGTGGTGTTCCTCAGGGCTCAATATTAGGGCGAGTTCTCTTGAATGTTTTTATTAATGACCTGGACACAGGAGCTGAGCACATGCTAATAAAGTTCGCTGATGATACTAAGTTAAGAGGAGATGTTGAGTCCCTCAAGAGTAGAGAGGCCTTAGAGAGAGATCTTGGTAGATTTGAGTGCTGGGAAATCACCATATGAAATGGACAAATGCTGGATTCTGCTCCTGGCACAGTGTAATCCTGGATGTACTTACAGACTGGATGACAAGAGGCTGCAGTGCAACACTGCAGAAAGGGATCTGGGGGTTTGGTTGATGGCTTGGGGGTTCAGTTGATGTACATCAGCTGTATACAGGTTTTATCTATTGCCCACCTATGAAACAGTGCTTGAAGCTGGATGCTGCAGACACGTGTTGTGTGCTTGAGAAATAAGGAAGCTGAAGAGATGCACATATGTCTCTGTGGGAGGGCACACGTTAACATGTCCAGAAGACAAGTGAGGGGACACTGCTAGAGGCAGCCTTGTGCACATTCAGAGTGGCAGGAGGGCTCTGGGAGGGGAGAGTGGAAGCCATGGGGGCCCAGCTTGTGTCCTTAATCCTGCTGGGGAAAGGGAAAGGAAAAGGAACAGGAGTAAGGAACACCTGTGGCTAGTGTCACAGGGAGTACTTTGGCTTCTCTAACCACAGGGCCCTCTTTGAGGAACAAGGACTGCTGAGAGGAATGGGGTTCACGTGGTCAAATGGGACATGAGTGGTTTTGCCAACGGGATAACCTTGCAAGAAGATCTTCAAACCTGATATGCTGGAGAAGGATTGTCATAATTTGAAGAGCTGTTAGGGCATGGGAGACAGTGAGGAAATGTCAAGGGTCTGAAGAACATGGCATACAAAGTAAGGCAGAGAGACCTTCACCTTTTCATCTTGTAGAAGAGAAGGTGAAGGTCTTGCTATCTACAGCTACCTAATGGAAGGATATAGAGGAGAGAGACAGATTCTTAGAGCTGAACAGGCGTAGTATTGTTCAACAAACTTGCAATACCAGAAAATCCAGACTGACCTAAGCAAAATGGTGGTCAAACACTGGAAGAGGGGCCCAGTGAGGCTATGGGATCTGTGTCCTTGGAGACATTCAAATCTCCGCTGGACGTGGCCCTGAGTAGCTGGATCTAATGGACACACTTTCAGCAGGGGCTTGGACTAAAGGCTCCAGAGGCCCCTTCCACTCTAAATCATCCTATGATTTTTTTAATTGCACAGTTTCTAGGTCTCGTGTGCTGGGGGAGCAGCTGGAGGGAGGAGGTTAGCTGGAGTAGGAATAACTGGAGTAGAAAGAGAGTTGAACTATAGCTCTGATGAATAGCTCAATGAGACATGACTTTTGCTGTCCTGTGAAACTTTTTTCCAGTGAGACAAGATGACTGCTTGAATTTCCCGTGTAAGGCATAGGCAATTCTTACTTCTTTTTTGGACTCTGTTCCTACCTGGAAAGGAACTCTATGTCTAACTCTCACGTCTTATTTCATGGTGTACACTGAATATCTGCTCTGTGCCCTTTTCAAACGCATTTAATATGGGGAAAAGTAAGTCACACATGCAGTGTTTGCATAGTTCTGAGTATGTCCTGTCCTGCCTGCTTTGATTTTGAATTTCACGTGAAACAATAACATCCAGAAGATGACAGCTGTATCTGGATTTTGTATCTTCCTGTGGCTGCCAGAAGCAGAACAGTTGATTCAGGTTATAAATTCAGGAGACAGTGTCTTTCTGTTCTGTGCTGATGGTGAAGTGATCTCCCATTGCTCTTCTCTCAACATGAGATTCATGAGGCAGTCACTTGGCATCACTTACTTCCACTTACAATCTCTTACAGAATCCTTCCTGTAAAGTAGAGAGCTCCTTCTCTTGAGGGGACCTCAGTCATTCCAGGTGACAGAGGAAGAAGGTCTCCAGAGGATTTTTCTCTTTCCC